TCCTACTTTGAAGGAGAAAATATCTGCTTCTATTCACTTCTATCAATGGCTATATTAGTATGGTATCATTGAAAATGGTTTCAACTGCTAGTTGTTGTCTTTGCCATATTTCAGTGGATTTATATGGCGTAGTGAAATAATTAGAGCTCCCACTAGTTATATTATATCATAATATGTGAGTTGGGAGATTGGCAGGCTTTGGTCTATTCAGAAACTCTCCCGGGTAATGATTGACATCGTCGGTATTTATCTCTAAGCCGACGCATTTATATTGATATTCTACAACTTCGAATGATTTTAAAAGTATTTCATTTTTTTACTGAGGCTTTCTCATTTTTTGGTGTTAAGATCGCATGCACGCTTCAGCTCCAGAAACAATTATTATAACGTTTTTCAGTTAAAAGAAATCTCTATTTACTATTTTCAGTATCAGATCTGGAAGCTGATAGTTACATCTCCTTTCGTATTGAGTCACATATTTTATCACTAATGATTATAAATATGATCGCTTCACGCTTGCTCTAACTTCGTTCGCTCGTGTTCCCCTGGACACTACTTATAAAGTCTGTCAGATTTATTGGTTTATTTTTAAACTTTGACGAGCAATAAATTTGATGGAAAAGTCTTGCCTGTTCCATCAGGCTCATCAAATATATATATATATGCATATTATATTTAACTATATTTCCAAACCTTGCTTTGATACTGAAAGTTCATCATTCTTTGTTCACTTGCTAGACAGCCTTCACAACTTGACACCATTTTTGCTAATAAATTGATATCGCAACTATCCTCAATAGTATTTGGATTCCAATAGTTTAGTCCCGTGTTCACTTCTCGGAAAATTGTTTCTTATCGGGTACATACATCATAAGCATAACACACCTCCAATTTCAGGTGTCTACGATCAATGGTTTAGGTTGAGGGTAATTATTCAGGACAAAGCCTTATACATATATATACTGTGTAAGGTGGATTTATTTGTAAAATTAAAAATCTTTATTTACTTTTCTAAATCGATTCCGTCGCCTTCAGAACAGTCCCCTGTCGATGCACTTACTACGCTTTTACCAATTATCGAAGCTTACGTTACGTTCTGGTATGGCCTTCAAAGAGCCCGCCGATTTACAACTAATCTCCTCAATCGACTCAAAACGGTGTCCTGGAAGTGGTCTCTTGAGTTTTTGGAAGAGCCAGAAGTCACATGGTGCTAAGTGAGGTGGTTGGGTAACGATATTCGGGGAATTTTTACCGAAATGGTCACGAAGAATGTGTGCATTATCGTGTTGCGGAAACCACGAAGGCACTTTTAGTCGTTTAATAAACACGAGCGTAAGTAAAATACCAATGACGACATTGACATGAAATTTGGTGTAGATGTCAAAAACGGTACTACCAATATTAAAAAAAAACATTAACCTGAAATATTAAGCGCGTGAAGCTCAAATTAAGATTCAAATTATGAAATATATTATTGGGTGTATTTAAAGAGAAAGGTTAACTATTTATGGCTCTATATTTTTTAAAAACTTTGCACACTAATTCTGAAATTATTATTTTAATATTATTTTTATTCTATATTCTTTTTTATAAATTCAGTAATATTTTACTATTTAAGTTATATATTTTTTTGATAATTATTTTCTTTTTTCATTTATATTACATAACTACTAAAATTCGTAAATATTTCATTACGTTTTGTTAGAATATTAGCTTCTTGCGATCATAGCCTTAGTATTAGTATGAGTAAAGTTGTATATATGTTTATACGTTTAGTATTACATACTTAATATGCAGTTTACATATATTTGATTACTCAATATGCTGTTGTGACTGTTTAAATAGGATGTGGTGTATTTTATATTTATAATATTGTTAAAAAAATAATAATTTTAATTATGATGTAATATGATAGAAAAAAATGCTTAGCTCTCCATCATTTGTCATTTAACAATTAAGTAATAATGAAAACTTTTTATTATTTTTTATTTTTTTTTTTTTATTTCAATGCTAAATTTCTTATTGGATATCGGAATAAAGGTATGTATACGAGTATATTAATTAATTAATTATTTAAACTATTTTATAACTATGCATATGTTTTAAAAAATTTCAGTTATATTTGTTTATTAATTGTTGTTATTTTAGGATTTTTTAAGATTTATTTGTATTTGAATAATTTTTAGTTACGCAATAAAATCAGTAGTTATTTATATATTCGTATTTATTTGTGTATATATATATATGTTAATTAAATATTTACTAAACTATTTTATTTAATGTCACCTATGGCAATTATTGTTTCAAATACAAGTAATTGTATTGTAATTTTTATTTTGTTTTTATCTAAATCTAGTTTTTATAAGTAAAATTTTTTATTACATTTAAAATTGTTTTCTTATTCTCTCGTGTAATCTTGGCATTGGCTCTAGTGTTGGCATTTGTCTTACAACTCTCGTATAATAGCGTAGTAATTTGTTACATTGCAACAGCAGTATTTTATTTAATATTTTTTATTGTTTATAATTTTAGTTTTATATTTATTACACAATAATATTTTATATTCTGATTTCGTAAATTTTTTAGTTCATATAAATATGTATTGAATTTTTTCATATTGGTATGTATGTATATAAATAAGGTATGCACAACCTGTTAAGCTGAACAACTGAACAATTGTGATCCAGGCTAACTTTTTTCTCAGTTTTGTTTTTTTTTTTAAATTTCGTATTTTTGAATTTTTTTCTTTATTATTTTACGCCGCGAATAAGTTAATTGAAGTTGTGACAGTTCAATGAAACAAAGATGAAGTACCCAGCACTAGTTCTCCAAAATTTCCTCAGCTAAAATTCCCTTTTTTCAAAACGTTAGTCGCGTTCAATTCCATCGTGCCATAGAAGAGCGCTTATTCTCTCTTGCAGACGAGAGCAATGTATCAGCACGAGCGAAAGAGAGAGAGACAGAGTAGTAGGCAGTTTGTTTTCGTCTATGATATATTTTAGAAAAGCATACATGTACGATATATATGTATATGTAATTGTAGAATAGGGTTTGTCAGAAAAATTCATCGTTTCCTACTCGACTCAAGAAAACTAGTTTCTGTACTCTCCAAATATTATTAAAGTTTTTGTGAGACAAAATTATTAGGACTTGTAAAAAGTAATACATTAATTTTAGCAATGGAAGTGGTCTAATCCAACCACAATTTCAGCACTGTTTCGATTGATAAGGAGCTAAACATTGCAAAAAAAAAAAACTTTGGCACCACTTGAATATGTTGCATGCACAAAGGAGCTAGGAGCACGTGTGCCACATTCTTCAACGAGAAAAAAGTGTCCATCTGCGAATCGGTGCAGAATCATTGCAAGATCGACGCATTTCTGAAGTGGATGGTGACTGTTGGTAAAAAGTGGAGCACTTACAGCGACGGCAAATGAAAACGGTCCTGTTCGAGGGTAGTGAACTGGCACAAAAAATGTCCAAGACGCTCCGAGAGTTCCGAGGTTGGGTGGTTCTTATAATATATATATAAATGGCCCTTTGTAAACGCTGAAGCGATTTTCCGCCGAGCTCCTCCTCCGATATGTGGTTTTGCGTCTTGTTGTTTTACCAACAAATGGAGGGACCTACAGTTTATACTAAGCCGCTTCCGAACAGCTGATGGGTTTTTTTAAGAGGAGCTTTTTATTTTTCATGTCACAAATACACCTGGAGGAGTTTGGCATTCGCTGCCAAGGGGTGACCGCAATTAGAAAATTTAATTTAATTTTCCTAATGGCAATACGCAATGCTAATCCACTTTATTTTACGAACCGCGTATGAAGTGAGTACCTTCTATCCCACTCTATAGTGAAGGATTTCTGATGAAATATAGACATGCAGAGTAGTCTCTGTAGATCGGCTGTCTAATGTTTTTGCCAGTAGGGATAAGTGTTTCCAAGAGGCAGGTGTAATGATATTACAATGAAAATGGCAAAAAGTTTTTGAGCAAAACGGTGCACAATAGATATAAATCGGGGAATGATAACTTCAATTTAATGCAAAAATAATGGATTACTTTTTACTAGACTCACATTAATGCTTAGAATATTTTTCAAGATATTAAGTTTTTTTTGGGTCACTCTAATCTATGTTTTATTACCGTTAATATTTTTTTAGATAATTTAGTTTAAAAAACTTAAATTTTTTTGTTTTTAAATTTAGATTTATTATTTGAAGGAAGAGTTTAAGTGTTAGTTAGTTCGTGAATTCTCAATATTAAATTATTTCTATAAAGCAATTTATACCGCTGTTATCATTATTCTACATGAGAGATATATATGTATGCATATTACATATTTTTTATTATTAAATGAATTGCCAAATTTGATTAGTCATTATATATAATATTAAGTGGGTTCATTAGTCCTATAAATGTCTGTTTGTATTTACACTAGTAATACAAAATAATATGCATGAATAAGTGTATATACATATATATTATGTTATTACACTATTTTTGGCTTAAATTAATTTTCCTGTTCATTTTTGACAAAAGGGAATCTACTCTTATTCAACTAGATTTATTTAGAGAGACTTTGGCGCTACTCAAAAAAATATTCATTAATATACTTTAATTTCATTAACTTAAATATTTTTTTAATTTTATAGAATTTATACTTTATAATGCTTATAATATTTAATAAATATTTTTTTTTTTTTACCAACCAAAATTTAGGTGTGATTATTTGATAATTTCAAATATTGCTAGCTCAATCGTATTGAGTATGAAGCACGAGTATATACGCTGTACTTATGTACATATGTAAATGCATATAAAAATGTAAAATTTTTTTTTTTTTTTTCAAAATTCGATTTAGAGTTACGTATACAAGAGTTGCCTTCAGGACCAAAACTAAAACTTTAATTTAAATTTAATTAAATATTTTCCTGTTAATTTATATTTACTAGCTCAAGCAGATTCGGGAATATAATCTATCAATTATTTTCTTTATTGAAGCTTTTTTATTACGTTCAATTTGGTTGCGAAAAAATTCTTGTTAAGAGGTTTTCACTTATGCAAATGTTGATTGTTGCAAATTTCCAAAATTTTCTTTTGATTTGTTATGTTGATTGCAGATATGCTTCGGTGGAGATACTGAAGATTTTTTTTTTTATGTGCAAAATAAATATTTACGGCTTGTTTATGCTTAGTTGCCGCCTTGTTTTTATTCTTTCTGTGTTTTGTTTAAATCTTTCCTTCTTTTAATGGTTTTTTTTTTATTGTTTTTTTCGCCGTTGTTTGGCGTAACCTTACCTCGGCGGCGGTGGTGGCGGTGGCGGCACCTGTGATCGGCTCGACGTCTGCAAATCGAGCGCTGCAGCGCTGTTGATCGGACTGTCACCGCGTGGTGGACGCATTGCCACTGTCGGCGCACGTATTTGAGCATATGGATTGTCGAAGAAACCTTGTGACATGGCCAACATTTTGAAGACTGTTTTTTTTTGTTATTTTTTGTTTATTTTTGTAATTTAATTTAGGTGGTTTCAGTTAGTAGTTGATGGACGTAAACTGTAATGAGAGAAAGGGGAGAAGAATTAAATTAATTTATTGTTTTTATTATAAGTTGGTGTACGAATTATTGTTATTAATTAAGTTGACTTAGTTTGTTAGATATGCAATTTAATAAAATATTATTGTGACGAAAATACCAAAGGCGAGTGAGAGGTGCTTTAGATTGCGGATATCGAATATTCCTTATAGAGAATAATCAAAGAAGAACCTTCTAGAGATGCCGACGAAAAATCGTTAGGTAAATGAGAATGACGGTCAACTCAGCGGCATCTTCAGTTTATTTGGAACTCGGTAGTGATAACATCGGAGTAAAGCGGAATAAACTGTGCGTTAAGAAGAGATATACTGAACTGCTTATTTACGATAAAGAAGGTGAACCACGGTTCTTCGGACGTTTATTTAACAACCAAGGAATCGAACTCCAAGGATTTGGGGAAACATCGCGGCTTATTTAATGAAAAGAATTACATTATTTGATGCCAGATGCCTCTGCTATCTTCTGATATGACAACTTATGGAGCGGTTTTCTGTTGTCCAATATAAAAATGAAAATATCCACAGCGAAGAAATGACTAGGTAAACTTTTAGAATCTGTTGGCAAAATGATTCTACGTCGGATTTCCAAGCTGAAATTTTTAATGGTTTTAATACTCGTTCCAAGTTAGACGGAATTATCTACGACTTCAAAGGGATTTGGGAGCCGAGTCGCTAATGCGATGAGTGTTTGTTCGCTTCGCTTCCTTATCTAGTCTGTAGGCAGCAGAACTGATGGTGCGGTTGTTGAAGCCCGTAGCCGTAACCTCGTTTGGTGACGAGGCTCAGGGAGGTCCTTCTCGATTGCGGTGGTGCTTTTAAATCAACGAAAAAGTCATGTGTGCCGATCTCTTTTCACGGGTATTTTCCAAGGTTTGGCGCATAACCAATGGTTGATTTACTAAACCCATACTGATGAGGTCCGATCACTTTGTTTATGGTGGGCTTCTGTCTTTTACACAAAACGCTTGACAGGACGTTATATACTATATTGAGAAGGCTTATTCTACGGTAGCCTGGCGCAGACGGTGGGAAGAATACTTTTATCCGATTATAAACATTTATTGCAAAGAAGCTGATGAATACAACTTGTCTGATCTTCGCGGGGTATTTTACTAGATCGGCCCTCGTTCCTATGGGCAAAAAATTGAGACAGTCGATTTTCACAAGTCTCCACTAAAGCGAATTTTTCACCAGCAAAGTTGTTTGCCATGGACAGGAGCAGATGATAAGCACTTAGTGCCAAGTCCGGACTATAAGTTGAATGCATTATAAAGCTGGCCACTTCTGGGCGATTGCTTCCTTCAGCCGTTCCAATTGTAGACAGTACTGTTCAGAGTTAAGAGTTTTGCGGTATGGGAGCAGCTCATAGTAGATACTTCTCTGGGAATCCCACAAAACACACAGCAAAACCTTACTGGCCGGAAATCTCCATTTTTACAGGTCCACCGAGTTTCGACCACGACCGTTTGCGCTTGTTGCTGTCGTCAATGATCCACTTTTCATTGCCAGTGACCAACCGCTTCAGAAATGGGTAGATTATGTTGCGATTCGGCAGCGATTTGTGGATGAAAATTTGGTCCATGAGGTTTCTTTGCGTTAACTCAAATGGTACCCATTGTATCCAGCCTTTTTCAAATGGATCCAAATGGTTTTTTGCAATCTTTAGCTCTTGGACAATCGAATCAGGGCTTACATGTTGGTCGCCTTCGACAATGTACATGATTTTATTGACGACAATTGGTCTTCCACTCTGTGAAGCATCTTTGATTGACTGTTAAAATATCAGGAGTAAAGACTTTAAGCACAACACACATTTTCAGCCGCTTGGATTGCGTTTTCGCCCTTGTCGAAGAAAAACTGTAAAATATAGCGTATTTTCTCCTTGCTGGTGTTCATCCTTGTCACACGCTCAAACAAAACGGAATCAAATCACAAGACTTTCCGGAAAGATTTTTTTAGTAAGAAATGTCATCTTTCTAACGCAATCTAGCGGAACCCAATCGGACTTTTACAACACTAGATACAGTTATATAACGCCATCTATTGGCGCTTTGTAACCCCCGACGCGTTTTTCGGCCAAAAGCATTGTTATTGTATATGAAACTTTGCATATTTTATTTATTTATTTTCATCCAAAACCATTTTTTTAAATCACTTTATGCCTGCATTATTTTCGTTGGCTTTAATATTACAAACATTAGATATACTAGAGCTTTCGATACGCTGCCATTATCCTTCCATTTTCATCATTTTTAAGCCAACCTTTTTTTTGTTAATATGGTCCTTATCGCTGTAAATTTGGCGCACATACTACAACAACATAAACAACACAGCAACAACCGTTTCCAATCTCATCGGCGATAAATCACTCGTTCTACATGCCCGCCAGCCAACATAGAAATTCGCAAGAACAACACTTCTCGTCCGCCCTTTCGGCGGCATGCGGGGGCCAAAGCAATCGGAAAACACTAATAAACTATTGACTGCGTTAAGTAATTTGGACTGTAAACAGCGGAAATATGTTGGATGTTTACATGTAAGCTTGTATGCATCTATGAGTGCGAAATAATTATAGTTACCCAGCAGGAAATATATACTGGTTGTTAATTTATTTTATTTTGTTTTATTTTATTTTATTTTATTTTATTTTATTTTATTTTATTTTATTTTATTTTATTTTATTTTATTTTATTTTATTTTAGTTTTTAAGACCAGAGAAAAATCTTGTTGTAAACAAAGGTGTGATCTAGTGACTGATGCTTAGGGTATACTGAATTAATGGAGGGAACACTTCACATTTTCCCAGTCTGCTGAATGGCAGTGGAAAGAAAGAACCTGAAGCAAACAATGAAAATGGAATGTTACGAATAGCAATTGCCCTCCTAAAAACCAACAAAAGTGACGATGCGTTGCCAGTCGAGTTATGCAAATTTGTCTTAGAAGAAATAACAAAGTCCATGCTTCAGTTTATTAACAAAACATGGTCTAACCAACATACAAAAAGGGAGATCTCACAGTCTGCTTTCCAAATATTATGTATAAGATCCGCATTATGTGAAAGACTTACTGACCAGAGTTGCTTTAGACCTGGTAAATCTACCATTGACCGGATATTTACCTTGCGCTAACACTTGAAAAAGACCCGTGAAAAGAGGACTTAAGAGGACTGTCACTTCGCCGCTATGTCTGATTTTGTATCCTAGAAAAACTTAAACTGACGTAAGCAACACCTAAAGCTCTGTTAGGATCGGCATGGCTACAAATGTACTTACAAATGATGTCAAGGAAGCTTTGAATATTTATATATTAACATATGAGGTTTCAGACTGCTAAAAATATGAAGAATATTACCTAGGGATGATAGATTTGAGTTCATTATAATTCATTTCAATGAGTTCATTGGATTTACTGGACGAATAAAAATTTTATTTTTTTTCAAGCCTTAACGAGTTAGTTTCTAGCCAGGCTTTGTGGACTTTAGCCAAAAAAATAAAAAATAAAAAACTAAATTTACCCGAAATTCATTGACAAAAATATTCGTTCGAAAATTCTCAGCAAACGTTTTTTTTTTTGGAAATTGTTTTTGACTCCTAAATATTGGAAGTAACACATCAACATCTCTATTTTGCATAAACTTCAAAATATACGCTGCACATATACTCCTACGTGAGTACTCTCAAATGCGTATATATATATATATATATATATTTCATATATATACCTGCATTTACATTCGCTCACTATACGAGTATTTCATTTTCAATATTTTCGCGCAATTTCATTTATTGTTTACTGACAACACCATTTCACCGGCTCTTCCCAGCGCCAATGAATTATGTGTAATCGAGTATGCAAAACGTCTACATATGCATACAGCTACATACATATTTTCGCACGTTTGTGTAAAAGCCTGTTGGCATTGTAATGGACAGTTGGTTTGTGGCCACCGGTCAGGTGAAAATCAATGCGCAGTGTGAATTTCATTTAACGAAATAAAGTGTTGAGTTTGGTCATTTGGTTGACAACTCCTTTGGGAAGCACAACACCGAATTGTTGTTGTTTGTTTATATATTTTTTTTTTTTTTTTTTTTTGTTTTTGGTGGCGTCAGTCAGTGGCGATTTTATTGCATTTTGAAAGGCTTTACCTTAACCAACGCAAGTAAAATCATATTGTGAGCTCATAAATTTTATATTCTGAAAAAACGAAAAACAAAAACAGAAAAAAATGAATAAAAAATTTAAATTATAATAACGGTAACATTATTTGAATGTAGTAGACTTTCGCATGTTTTGCATATTTGATGGAGGTTAGATACCATCTAAGCGTTCGAAATCGCATTTACTTATATACATACACATACATATACAATTTATATTGTGAATAGGCGTAAATACTAGATGTAGTGAGCAGTTTTTGAGATTTAATCAACATTTAATCCGATTTCAATATCGTTTTGCATCTAACCCGCTGTAGCAATGCCGGAAAATACTATAAATAAATAATTATTAAAAATAGTTATGGGCTCAACCGGGATTTGAACCCGGGACCTCTCGCACCCAAAGCGAGAATCATACCCCTAGACCATTGAGCCGCCTGATTATTGGTAAAATGAGTGTTTATTTTGGTGAGTTCTCTCCATTTGTGGTTAGTAAACTGTTTTTGGAGTTTTAGTCAGCGACAAAAAAAATTAATTAATTAAGTGTTTTCCAATAGCGATGTCATTTTGAATAGCCTGCTTTTGCGGTAATCATTTACTTTTGAAACTGTAATTTTGGGAAAGTCGGCAGGCAAAAACTACGCCAGTAATAAAAATGCATTGAAATTATGCAAATTCAGTACAAAAATTATAAAAAACTGCCAGAGACAGTTCGTAAAGCTGAAGCAGTTAGCATTTTTCGGTCGTCGTGAAGCACCTTGTCGGGCTGCAATCAAGAAATTGATGGAAAAACGGAGTTTTTGG